AAAAAAAACAATTATCTGATCCTACATAAAATTCAATGGTTCCAGTGCTTGGAAAGCTGAAAATGGGAGAATCACTACAAGTCCAATCTGTGTAATGAGACCTTATAGAACTGCACTAAATACAAAATAAATTTTTTAAAAAAATCGATGGTGGGGCTGGTGAGATGGCTCAGTGGTCTAAAGCACCTACTTAGAACAAGCTTAGCAAAGCACAGGGACTGTGGTTCGATCCCCCAGCCCCACATGCCAGCCAGCTGCGCCCCCTGGTGGGCTGAGCTGGCCACACACACACCCACCCACACCCACACCCACCCACCCCCACCCCCACCCACAAATAAAATAAATAAAAAAATCGATGGTTCTCTGGAGCAACTGGTTACAAGGTGCAAATTCCAGAAATAAACTCTGGCATATATGCTTAAATGATTTTTTACAAGGGTGCCTAGAACGTTGGATGAGGAAATAACAGTCTTTATGACAAACAGCTTTGGAAAAATTGGGTGGCTAGCTGTGTACAAAAGAATGAAGTCAGGGCTGTTGTGCATAGCTCAGGGGTAGAGCGTAGGCTTCATACACACCCTAGTTTCAATCCCCAGTGAGGAGAAAAATAAAAGAATGAAGGAAAAAAGAATAAAGTCAGATCCTTACCTCACATCATACATTAAAGTGAACTTGAAATGAATCAAGGAGCTAAATGTAAGAGCTCAACCAGTAAAACTCCTAGAAGGAAACTGAAACAATAAGGAATATCTATATGTGTGCTTGTGTCCACCCTCAGTTCCCAACACAGAGCCCTAGAAACCTCCTTCACTTTCTGGGTGGCAGGAGGGTGGTCTGGAGGGGTTACCAGCAAGACCAAACCATGATCACAAGCTTGGAACTTCCAGCCTGAGCCCCTATTATTCAGAAAAAGGAACACAAGAACAACTAGTGATGTCTACCAAGGAAGCCTCCACATAAATTCCTCAAGTAAGGGTTACAGAGAGCTTTCAGACTGGCAAACACATGGGTTTCCCAGGAGGATGCCCTCAACTCTATAGGAGGAAAGCCTGTGCTCTGTGCGTCTCTTCACCTCTTCATTGACTGTTCGTCTGTACTCTTCACCACTTCCTTTAGGAGTACTGGTTTTCTTCAATTTAGGCTGAGGTTGTGTCCTAACAACCCTATCATAGTTGGGATGCCACAAAGTAAAAACATACAGATCACTCCCAACCTCTGAGCATGTTTGCTGAGCACCCTGGAATGCTACATAGTATCCTGTCATTTCCTCCGTATGATTTTAGGGCTAACTGGGGGGTGGGCTCACTGCTGCTGCACTGCGATGCATAGTGCTAGCCCAGAAAAAGATCAAAACTCAAAATCTGAAGTGTCTGTATCTTGTACAGCAATTAACCACTAAGAAGAATATATGCAGTGTATTATTTGTTGAAAATGTACTTCCGATTTGATTTGAAACTGTTTCATTGCTATCTGTTTATCAATAAAACTTTGAAAAGAAAAAAATAAAAAATAAAAAAAATTTTAAAAAGTTCTGTGGAAAAATCTGAAGTGTGTTGTGGCACATGCCTGCAAGCCCAGGACTCTAGGAAGCTGAGGCAGGAAGCAAGTTTAGCCCAGTCTGGACAGCTTAGTGACTTAAGGAAAACCTGTCTCAAGTGACTGGGGAGATGGCTCAGCAGAATAAGCACTTGCCCGGCAAGCACAAGAGCCTGAGTTCAATCCCAGTTCTGCCAAAAAAAGAAAAGAAAACCTGTCTCAAAATACAGGGCAGCTGGGTATGGTGGTGAATGCCTGTAATCTCAGCACTGGGAGGCTGAGGTAGGAAAATCATTGCCAGTTTGAGACCAGGCTGGGCTACAAAAATGAGCTCAAGGGGCCAGGGAGAAGGTTCAGTGGAATAAGCACTTCCCTGGCAAGTGCAAGGGCCTGAGTACAATCCCCAGTTCCACAAAAAAAAAAAAAAAAAAAAAAAAAAAAAACCACCTTGGTAAACCTGACTCAGTGGTACAGTCTGGAGGCTAAAGCAGAAAAATCAAGAGTTTGAGGCCAATTTGGAGCACATTGTAAGAACCAATCTCAAAAAAAAAAAAAAGGCTGGATGTCGCACTGCACACCTATGATCCCAGCAGAGGCAGGAGGCTCACAATAAATTTGTTTTGCTTTGTTTTTTTTCACAATACATTTGAAACCACCAGCCTGGTTACATCTTGAGTTCAAGGCCAGCCTGAACTACATAATGAGACACTGTCTCAAAAAGCCCACAAAAAATTGTATGTCAAATTGTAATCTAGAGACTGTATAGACACTCCTCATTTAATGACTAGGATGTGTGACTAGGTCATTAAATGAATTGGTCACTAAATGAGGAATTGTATATAGTGCGTACATTACAAAATTCAGAATGAAGAAATGGTCAAAGGAAACTCCAACTTGATGACTTTACTTTTATTTGCGCAACTCTTGCTTGCAGTAATATTATGTAATGTATAACAAAACATAAAACTACAATACTGCAGTGTATAGTACAATCAAAGCCAATTATAGTACTTACATACCTGTAATCCCAACACTCAGAAGGCTGAGGCAGGAAGATCACTGAGAGTTCAAGGCCAGCCTAAACTACATATCAAGACCTGGTCTCAAAAACAAAAACAGTCCGGCGGCCCAGCGCGCCGGCCCAGGCCTGTCAGGCTCCTGCGACTCCGCGCGGCGGCCCCACGGCCTGCTCGCCGCCCGGTCCCGGCCAGGAAGCACCGTCGGCGCCATGGCGCACTCCCCGGTGCAGTCGGGCCTGCCGGGTATGCAGAACCTGAAAGCAGACCCAGAGGAGCTTTTTACAAAACTTGAGAAGATTGGAAAGGGCTCTTTCGGCGAGGTGTTCAAAGGCATTGACAATCGGACTCAGAAGGTGGTTGTCATAAAAATCATCGATCTGGAAGAAGCTGAGGATGAGATAGAAGACATTCAACAAGAAATCACAGTGCTGAGTCAGTGTGACAGCCCATACGTAACCAAATACTATGGATCCTATCTGAAGGATATGAAGTTGTGGATAATAATGGAGTATCTTGGTGGCGGCTCTGCACTGGATCTGTTAGAACCTGGTCCTTTAGACGAGACTCAGATCGCTACCGTATTGAGAGAGATCCTGAAGGGACTCGATTACCTGCACTCAGAGAAGAAGATCCACAGAGATATCAAAGTGGCCAATGTTCTGCTGTCTGAACATGGAGAGGTGAAGTTGGCTGACTTCAGAGTGGCTGGCCAGCTGATACCCAGATAAAGAGGAACACCTTTGTGGGCACCCCTTTCTGGATGGCGCCTGAGGTCATCAAACAGTCAGCCTATGACTCGAAGGCGGACATCTGGTCCCTGGGCATCACGGCTATAGAGCTGGCGAGGGGGGAGCCGCCCCACTCCGAGCTGCATCCCATGAAGGTTCTGTTCCTCATTCCAAAGAACAACCCCCCAACACTGGAGGGAAACTACAGCAAGCCCCTTCAACGAGTTCGTGGAGGCCTGTCTGAACAAGGAGCCAAGCTTCAGACCTACAGCGAAGGAGTTGCTGAAGCACAAGTTCATCATTCGCAACGCCAAGAAGACATCCTATCTGAATGAGCTCATCGAGAGGTCCAA